AGGACAGACGGCCTGGCCGTCTGTCCTCGTCCTGGACCTCTGGTCCTCTGTTCCTCTGTTCCTGGTTGCGGCAGATTCAGGTCACTGATCATTTTGTTTCTCATTGATCAGACTCATTTTCTCCTCTCCACTCCAGGAACTGCAGATATCTGCCCTCCCAGTAAAATCAACTGTGTTGACAAAGCACTGGGTAAGAAACAATCTTCACCTTCATTTCTTTTCTCATTACAATCGATGGAAGTGGAAACACAGTCGGTGAACGTGATGATGACGAGACAGAAATATGTTCTGATGACTTTTCCTCTGGTGATTCAGTCACTTTGGAGCTGTTTCATAAAACTGACCCCTGACACACACACACACACACATGTCCCCCCCTGCCCCCTTGCCCCCCCCCTGCCTAAACTACCTTGCCTCAGTTTCAATAGCGTTTGTGTTGCAGTAAAAGCTGACGTTTTTATTTCTAAGGCAGATGTATAAGTACAATTATTATCTCACGGCCAAATAAGCCTGAAATTTAATTATCTCTTCTCTCGTTGCTGAATTCAAGCTCTATTTAAATTATGAAATCTCAGATTTATCTTACAAGAGCCGGGCCGTATTCATGGGGCTCACATTACCGGATCAAACGGCGTGAATAAAATCACCCTGCATGAAAGGTAATAAATTAAAATGGAATTTATATATTTATATCATGAAGGTGATTTTTTTTCTTTTCTCCATACTGTATGGAGTCTATACCAGCCCGGCTCTGCATATAAATAACCTAATTGTGTTTGTTAAGAGGTATAAAACATCATTCACGACCACATCATTTCTGCTCCCACTGCCTCGTTTTGTTCAGGCTGAATGTGTGGAGAATATAATAAAGAGAGTGAATTATTGGACTTTCCTGTTTGGATGATGCAGTTTTACTTTTTAAACATGAAGTCAATGTGAGAACTAACAAACTATAATTCACAAACAGGTACAGCTATTCACTAATAACTAACCCTATACTAACTAACACTAT